TTGCCTACTCAAAGCAGTATCAGCTGTGGAGTGAGATTAGGTTACTCAGGGATTTACCCAACCAAGTCTTGAAAATCTTATATGTGTAAGGGCAGAATCCATCTCTGTTCCTGGGGCAAGAGGGGGACCCCAAAAGCTGACTGCACTGGAAGCCGAATTAAGCCTGAGTGGGAATGAATGGCAAAAACACCCCATGTGACTGGGCCAGAGACTCTATATAACCTTGGCATAGATTACCTCAGGAGAGGGGATTTACATACAAAATGGTCACTGAGCCTGACCTGATGTGACCAATCACAGCCAGCAGCACTCCACCCTCACCCTCTGTCCACCGATCAGTCTTGCTCCCAACTAGAAGAGGAACGCCCTTCCTCTCAGAAGTGAGAGAGAGTCCCTTTGCCCTGTGTCTGGCAATGATGTAAGATGGTATTAAATAGCATTAGGGTTTGGCCACCCCCACACGACTCCAGGCTCTGCCCCTTCATGGCTACTATGAAAAATTAACTCTGTCCTTGGCTGAAACCAGGACAATTAGAGCATCTCCTGAGGTCAGCTACAGTTCTCAAGCATCATGAGCACGTGTACTCTCTCCCGGTGACTCTTCAGGCCGTCTGCAGGACCATGACTTCCTGCTGTTGCTAGACAGTGTGGCTGGTGGACAGGAAGAAGTAGAGTGCTGAATTGGTCAGCTAGTGTGACCTTGTGCATGTGTGACTGAGTATGTGCCCAGTGTAAAAGCAAGTTTTAATATTTTTAATACTCTTTCCATGTAATTGAAGTATTAGAAATAAGATTAGCAATAGTAGCTTGAGATCAATTTTTATACGATCAGGGTCAGTTGTCAACCCACTCAGTCACCAAGATGTGCAACTAGATTTATCAGTACCCAGTTTATCTGATTGTCTTGCTTGCTTTTGGGCTTAATTTGTTTTGCTTGCTCTCTTCCACTGCATCATTGAGCGTGGTTGTATTGTGATCATTAATGAGCTAGTAAATGTCCATGAAGGTAAGCAATTAATATTTGTGATGCTGAGTGTTACACTAAGAATAAGGCAAAGGATTCAAAAATAAAATGAAACTAAGAAAAGGCTTTATATAAATTTCAGGACATCTGAGGATGATTTACAAGTCCACATTCACTGTTTATCAGGACTGTGGACCTAACTGGGGTACACTCTACATCTCAAACTCTTGCACTTGTTTCCTTTTCTGGCACAGGTGGGTGTAGGTTAGGAGATATGGCTGGTGCTTGCTTGAATGTGACAGGAAGCTGACAGATGCTCTTAAGCCTGCTAGACAACTATTCCTGCCTGTCTTGTTCACACTGTTCAGTTATGTGGCCAGCAGACATGCCTCATAAGGGAAACAGGTTAGTGCACCTAATTAAAATTGCTAATTTAACTGAGCAGTCAGAAATATTCTTTTTCCCCTACTGTCTTAAGTCATGTGGGCAGCTTCTAAAACACTTAGCTAAATGGCTTTTTCTTTAACAGCATCTCAGAGAGGTAGTAGTCCTGGTTTTCAAGATCCATACGAGCTCGTCAAATATATTCCTGTGCTACAATAGCTGAACAAAAGCTAAGGGAAATGGAAAATTATGTAAAAGACGTTTTGAGAGTTGGAAGCTAGACTTAATTCATGCAAGTAATACAAGTTTCCTCAGACTGTAGTGACTTAGTTTAACTGGGATTGGAAAATATTTCTTTTTAATATATAAACTATCATGTTACATGAAACTTTATTTCCTGGTAGCTGTAAGGAGTGTACCAGCAGTGATTTTTTTGTCAATTGTCCAAGAGGTTTTATTTTTAACTACCTGCTCATTCATCACAAGACTATTCACTGGGAAAGGTGACTGTAAAATTTTTGTGATCTCTCACATTTATTTTTGTTCAATGATAGAAATAATTAATTGTTTTCATGAAAGATTCAAGTCAAAATATGTATTGTGCAAGCAGAAAGGTTTCTTATTCAGTTCTCTCTATATTCCTCTCCTCAGAAAACATCCAATTTTGGAAACTTTCCAGTTAGAAACTTTCCAAATTGATACAACTCTGAACAACACGTTGCTTTGATAAATATCTTGTTAATGATAAGAACAATGTAGGGACTTCTGGTGTCAACAAGTCTACAGTCACAGGCAAAAAAAAAATCATTCTGAGCAAATTCATTACTACATGTAGGTCTTCTAGACTGACACTGGAATCAGTGTCATCCTTTCTATAAAATTCTGCTAAGATTTTCTTCAAATTAGATAAGATATGAGTCAGGATACACTAGTGCAGATTTAACAAACATTTAGTTATGCTATTTACTTATGGAAGTTGCTAAAGGGAAACCTTCAGAGATGCAGTATGTCCTCTCGTTTCAGTCCCGAGGAACAGGAAGCAACTCATGCACAACAATTATCAGTTTCATAAAGATAATGAATTCATACTGCTTGTAAATAATAATTGTGTACCAAATGCGAAAATATACCAAAGATTAACATTTTGTAGAAACACTGACAAGATCACTGAAAGAGAAATATAATTCAGTTTTCTAAGCAACATTTACAAGTTACTCTTTACTTCAACTTCTTTTAGATGAGATAGCAAATTGTAACCTCCCTGAGATAGTTAGGTGTTATGATACATTCATCATGGCTAGGCTTTGCGAATGAAGATTTCGGAAGGGCTCTACCCACGTTTGTTACAGGCATGCTGGTGGCTAAAAAGGCCAATATGAGATAGACACGTCCGACTGCAAAAGGCACAGCAGAAGGACTCCTTAAGTAGTAAATTCTGTGAGACACGATTCTTTCTGCGTTGTCTTTTCTCCTTAAGAGTGATCCTGCATGCGTTCTCAAAGGAAGCAGCAGCATTATAGATGGTGTGTCTCCAGACTTCCTGAATGGAGGCCAGAGTAGACCAGTTATGATGATCAATAGGGCCAAGGCTGAGATGTTGTTTCAGGAAGTCCTTGTATCTTCTCTTCGGGGCTCCTCTCTTGTGGCAGCCATTGGCAAGTTCACCGTAAAGCAAGATCTTAGGGAGGCAGTGGTCCTTCATCCTTGAAACATGTCCTGCCCAACGCAGCTGTGTTCTCAGCAACATGGCCTCAATACTTGTGACTGCTGCTTGTTCTAGAACAGATGTATTGGTCACATAATCTGACCAGTGGATGTTTAGGATTGTACGGAGGCAGCGTTGGTGGAAGCGTTCTAGGAGACGTAGGTGGTGGCAGTAGATGACCCATGATTCGGATCCATATAACAGAGTAGACAGACAATGGCTTTGTAAACACTGATCTTTGTACTTTTTTTCAAGTGTTTATTTTGCCAAACTCTTTTATGGAGTTTTCTGAAAGCACTATATGCCTTTGCTAACCTGTTATGATACATTAGCAGATTACAAAAATAAAATGAGGAAACAGCTCATTAATCCTATAGATTAGTCTGTGTAGAAAACTTCCTCGTTGTTCCTGCATTTAGATTACATGTTCATCACTATCCTAATTCTTTGAATGTGTACTGGATACTTTTAACAAGATACATTAAGCACAAAGTTCAAGTAACACTATTTTGGTAAAATTTCTGAGAAGTGCTTAGAATTTTAACTCAGTTCTACTGCGTTTGTACTACAAAGCCTTAAATCCAGAAACAGCTTCAACACATCTTGACTTTATGAAGCTGGGGGCAAAGGTTTTGTTCTAACCTTCTGTTAGCCTCATTTTGGTACCATATCGTAGTAGATTATGTCAGTCTCGAAGTGTAACCAAAGTGTCATTACACAAGCTAGAAGTCAGACAGAGTGAAGTGGCACTCTGGCATGCCTCTGCCATCAAGTCTTCATTTATATTTCATTGCCACAAAGCAGATGTTGTAGTCACATCTCTGTCATCAATTCATAATTAAGGGATCTCCTTAGCTGCTAATCTAGAGAAGTTTTATAACTCCTTTGCACATTTATAATGTGCAGCATATCAGGATAAAGATCATAATGTTTTTCCAAAACAGTGCTTAAACACTTTAAAATGGGCAGTGGATATATTTTCTCTAGTCATTATCTTCTCTTCTGTCAAAAGATATTATAGTTCTACTACTGTATTGTAATACTATTTTATAATGAATATAATATCTGCAACACTCTACCAATACATATTTTATGAGAAAAGCTCATATATGTAGTTCTTTTGTCCTGTAGAAGCATTAAAAAATCCCCTAGTTCAATATTTTTAATCTGATTCCTGATCAATAAATAAACTGCATTGTATCTCACAATCCTAACAAAAGTAACTGTACTCTGTAACCTCCTTGCAGCAGAAAAAACTTCCTCTTGGAAATACACTAGTCTTATAAAGTCAAGGAAATGTTTAACACGAAACGTAAACATAATCATAAAAATGTGAAAAATATGGGAGTGATTTGTAGCGTGTATGCATGAATAGAAATTTCCCCTTATTCATACAACTGGCAGTATTTCACAGAATATACCTGTCCTGAATTGATGAGGTTTCTCAAACAAAGTTCCCTGTTTGCACCAGTTCTTGTACCAAACCTTCCTCAAACTCTTGACGAATAACTAGCCATAATCTACATGTCTGTTTAGTAGGCTTTTTATTGATGTTCCTTCTGCCTACTTTGACTCACCAACAAAGTTTGTCAAAGCAGTGATTAAATAAGTTACCAACTAGCAGTACATCCATACAGTGAAACTCCTTGTGCTGTGGCTAATTTCATTCATTCACAGTAAATTTATTAATCTGCAGTAATTCCTCATCAAAGTCATCATGGAATTAAAAGTAAGGATAGCTTTGGTGAGATCCAAAAAAATATTAGGACACCTAACCAATCATGAATTTAACTACACTAATCAAAGTAAATGTTAAAACTAAAGATGTTCACAGAAACATTTCAATTAAAAAAGTTTTTTGATTTACTGTACTTCTAGGGTTGCTGTAATTAAAAATTAAGAATAAAGAATAAAGAATAAAGAATAAAGTGGCTAGTAATTACTATACTTATATTATTCCTGCCAATTCACTTGAGTAGGTTTCTTTTGACCATGTCCTCTATTCAGCTACCTTCCCTTGTTGCTTTTGATAATATTTAGAGTGGGAAGATGAGAAGAAAACAAAGAAAAATGGAAATCAAGAAAATGGAGACAAGGAGGACTCACATATAATGCCTGATAGTGTTTTCTGACATTTGAGCTTGGGTAGACTCAAAGCAATGATTTCTCTGTAGAAATAAATATTTGAAAGTCACATTCTTGCATACACTAAGTCCCTAATGATGGTTACCATAAATTTATTTTATCTGATTTAACTGAGCACTGATCCTGAGTCATATCCCTGGCAAAGGAGGCAAAATTATCTAATTTGTGGCTGCTTTCATTTGTTGCTATTGGTAATTCAATGTAGGCTGAAGCAATCCTGAAAGACTTCTATGTAATTCTCCAAAATCTTGACTAACTTAATGACTGGGGACTTGAGCAACTGCTACAGAGCAACTGTTCTCTCCTTTGTGAGTGCATAAGCCAAACTATAAATGAAAAGCTGAGCTATGAAATTGCATTTTTCTCGCAGAGTAGCCAGAAATGTTAAATGTTCAAGTTCATATAATCATTATGTGTAATTTTAAATACAATAAAGCAGATGGCTCAGAACAGAACAAGCTTCTTTTGGTTGTTGACTTGATAAAAGAAAAATGTCATTGATATTAATGCAGTAAAATTTTAGCTGTGAAATTTGATTCCTTTGTTGCTTTACTACTCCCTGCAATTAGGAAAATATTTCAAAAATTAAACTGTTGTTTTGTAAGCTCTGTTGTATTCCAGCCAGCTGATGTGTACTTCGACTCTATGATTAACAAGTTCTTGTTTTTCTAGAGCACAGATAGCATTATTTTTAGAAAAGTAGTTGCCATTAATAAATGTTCCAGAAATGCTGATTCCAATGTTAGCATTTCTAAAGAGTGGAGATTGTCTTAAGGTAAAACTACCTTTGAACTTTAAACTTGGTAGGAAAACTAATAGAAAATATTTTTGCTCGCATTTCATCCTGAAATCTGATTGTTCAGTGTGTTGAAATGAAAATTTAGCATCAGCTTCATTTTTGACTTTCCTTTTTTTCAGTTGTGATGTAATCACTGTACAGATCTGTTAGTGGAAAGGCACAAGTTTAGGTTTCTTGTGCTCTTAGAAAGAATGTAACCTTGCAGCTATAGCTGAGCAGTTTCGCTCGGTAATTTAATGTCACAGAATGGAGGATACAATTGAATATCAGGTATCCTTACTCTATAAAAAAATGGAAACCCTCTCTTATTACCTGATAAGGACTTGAATGGAAATACATACCCTCATCCAAAGATTTCTGAAACAAGTAGCTTTCTTTGGATTCCTCCCCTGCCACTTGATGATGTTTTTGTCAATGAAACTGTGTTCCCTTGTTCCACATGATAAAGACTGATGGATTGATGTCTTTCACTTACCGAGAAAAGGCCTTAAAAAAGGCCATAAGCAGTTTGGTTTTTTTGGTTGTTTGCGGTTTGTTTGGCTTTGTTTGTTTGTTTGTTTGTTTTGAGATGCATGTATTTCTGTGAGGGGAATGACTGAATTTTAAGTTATTTAGATAATCATGATTGCACATAAGACTTAAAGTCCTTTGCAGTTTATGGAATATTTCTATTACCATTTCATAATTAAGGGAAAAGGGAGTGGGGAGATTTACTGAGGGTTACTCTGAAACTTAGTGGTACTCGTGCAAAAACAATCCAAGGTTTGCAGATTCTCTAGATTGCACTAAGTGAAAAGCAATGCGAGTTGAGAATACCTTGCTTGTTTGTTTTTTGTTGGTTTTGTTTGTTTGTTTGTTTGTTTTCCACTGAGAAATATGTGTGCTATTAGAAATACTATATACAAATCTGATACCTTCACAGAGGAGTTTAAACTCTGCATGAACTACATGAAGAGAAAATGATAGAGAAACTAAGAGCAATCAGCCTATTTGATTTTATGTCAGTTCCCCAGATAGCTATTTAGAAAGATTGAGACATATATAGACATATGAATCTCTCTTTCCTAAGAGAATGTAATCGAGGAGAGTATCAATATATCATAAACAACTAAATAGACAGCCTATTTTTGGTAGCTTTCAGTCATCACTTTCTTAAGAAAAGAACTAGGTTCAACAGGCCAGCTGAAAGCATCCCGTCTCAGGGGAGAAAGCTGAAGCAACACAATGGTTGAGAGCAAGTAAATAGATAGATATATAAGAAAGAATGAAAACAGGAAGTTTCACTGTGTGGAAATGTGATGTGTTTTCTCTTCTCTTCAAACATAAAGGGGCAACAGAACTCTGCTTTATTTCTGGGAATGTCAGTGAGTTTATCTTTGTGTTTGACAGCCAAATCAGTACAATCCTTTTTATTACTTTACATCAACATACTCCTTGAGGAAGAACCTCTGCTCTATTAGATCACTCAGATATTCAGCAATGGGAATAAATGCACCATAAAGCTCAGCCATGTCCTGCTTTAGATCCACAGGGTCTCTCTGCAGCTCTCACCCAGCAGCAGATATGAGAAAGCTTGACTCATCTAGAGCCCACACAAGGCGGACAAGGATTACCAGATGAGCAGCTGTCTTTCATGAGATCTATTTATATGAGAACATTTTTCTCCTTTCACCTTTCCACCCCTGCCTCACCAATTCCACCTCAGGCAGCTTTTTCTGTATTTCAGGGCTATTCACTTTGGTTTTCTTCCTTCAGAAGATTAGAATGGACTGCTGCTGACAAGTGAATCCTTTGCAGATCTTCTGCAAAGTGTGGGTGCTGTAGTTATTTTACCATTGCTAGTCCATAGGGCTGTTCCCAACCGAGCCAGCAACAATCAGGTCAGTCTCTTGTTTTCAGTTCTGATTGTGGTAGTCAAAGAGGGCTGCTGGGGAGTTCCGGATAATGAGAACCTGAGTGCTTGGTAATAGTGTAGGATTGGGATCCTACATGTGCAGGAACATATATATGGGAGATTATTGTAGCTATGGCTGGCAGTCATCCATTATGGTGGCTTGCAACTTGCTGCTGAGAAATCGAAATGTTAAGAATTTCTGATTAAATATGAAATCTAATTAAATTTCTTCACAATATAGAGTGGATCACTCTTACTAGACATGCCGATGCTATTGGAACACCAGTTTTCTAAGAATATGTTAGGCTAGTTTTATGGCCTGTGTCTGTATCACAGAGACATAGAAACAAGGCAAGAACAAAGATGTGTTTTTTTCTGCAAATGTTGGCAGACTGATAGAGAATCAGGTGAGAATGCTGCTGAGGCTTGTGGTGACAACAAAGAGAAGCAACAATTAAGGGACTTTTTACTCAATAATGAAGAAGGTGAGCTAAAATAGAAGCTCAGGACTTGTGGATTAAATGTGTTAGAGTTACTCAGTTATTAATAATCTATGTCTTTGAAAGCTGAGAGATCATCTTACATTTATATTAAAGGGTTTGTTACATTATATTTAAAAAGTCATGCTGTGTAATTGTGAAGGGAAGTAACTAGAAGAAAATCACTCATAAAAGAGTATTTCTGAAAATAAACCTGTAATGGGCACAGAAAGAAATTCTGGCTATTTAGTGAGGGGGAAAGAGCAGGGTGGGGGAACAGACTCCTAAAATGAGAGTTAATAAGTGAAGTTATACAATGAACTGATTTTTATGGCTCAACCATAAACCTTTGAAGGCAAGGGTTTATGAAGTAAGTGCTGACACTCAAACACTGTAAAACATTCTGTAATGGCACCAGATTTCTGGGGTTTCTTTATAAATATATATATTTTTAATAGCCAAAACTTTTTGAAAAGAAATAGTATAGATTATAGTAAGAACTACTGACGGAGAAAGGTAGCTTTTTCTTTGCTCCAGTATAATATATAGGTATAATATAATATATAGTATAATATATAGTATAATATAATAGGTGTCAGTAATAAAGATTATTGACTTTGTAGCAGCATACTGTAAGTAATCATAGTAAAATTCTTGACCTTCTGCTGTTCGGTTAAAACCTTCAAATTGAATTATACTTTTAAAAATACCCTTTTAAAAGTAGAAGCTACTTACTCAGTTACTTTAAATAATTCTGCTGACTATTGATTTTTTCTCATTATGTTCACGTTCTTTCCTTCACTCACAAGAAATTACTTTTCCCTTCAGCAATGAAATATCCATAAGTGCCACATTTCTTAGAGATGAGTTTATGTGCTTTTAGATAACCATAATAATTCCATCCATGCACCAAACTTGTAATATTACTTATAGTTGTAAATCCATGATTTTGAGCCAGATGTTACACACACAAAACCACTAATTTATTATTTATTATTATGAAACTCACAGTCTATTATGCATAACAACAGGTAAACTTGTTCTCACCTGCAAAGTTAAACCTTTCTAAAGATTATTACTGGGAACTGTTGCAGAAGCTCCAATCCACTAACTCCTGATTCTTGACAGCCTAAAGCCTTCCTACGAGTAATATGGGAAGCTGCACAGAAATAAAGAATCATCATCATCCCTTCATCAACCCTTGCCATCCTTCTACAGTAATGGCTGATTACATCCAGCTTAAGATGAGCATATAATAATTTTTTTAAAAGCAAGATGGCTCCTTTTAAAGAAGGAACTGGATTCTTCAGCATTCACTGAAGAAGGTACACATTGAAAATGCTAAAAGTAAAAACATTGTACATTTTTAAAATTACCTATTTGCATTTCTCTCTAAAACCTAATGTCATAAAATGGTGCAGGTAAAGCACATTTTTGCTTTCTTGCCTGTATCTGCTTAACTAATGCGATGACTATCTGAGCTTTAGGGGACTGGAACTTCAGCTCCAACTACTGGAGGCCGTGCTATTTCAAGGACCTGATATCATCAATTCCAGACTGTAAGTACCATCAGTCTTTACAGACAAGGCTGTTAAAGGTCTCATGTCATATGACTTCAGGGGCATTTGTGTACTAGACTGAACATAAGTGATTTAAACATAATCCTTTTGTGCTGATGCATTTTTTTTAAGCTATATGATCATGGGGTGCAGCATCTAGAAGATGGAAAAAGAATGTTTAATAAAAATTAAGGGTTATCTTCTACTGACAGTAAGTATTGCTGGATTAAGCACTGTTGGTCAAAACAACAGATTTAGAGTAGTAAAACAAGGTTTACCAAGAGAACATGTATTCTAACAACTGTTGCTGTCCTTGAACCAGCAACCTCTTTGAAATTGTCTTCTCTGGAGCTAAGAAGAGGAAACAAGGGAGAATGAGTAATTTCTCTAATATGGTGTCAAGTTTGAAAATTTTTTTTATGGTCTGTAACTGTCTCTAAATGTGTTTTTGCACAAAAGAGGTTTGCATATATCTGTATAAACATATGTTTTCCCTTATTTTTTTCTGTGAATGAGCCGTGAATGTTTATTCCCATAAGAATTTTCACATTCATAGAAAATTTTTCTTTATTTGTTTTTCTCTCTTGAAATTTCCAACTGCTGCTTCCACAAATCTTATGAAAAGATATCTAGCATGGTTGCAAAGACCCCCAAAGTGGTTTCTAATTTTTCTGGGTTTATTTCATCAAAACATTTTTGCATTTGATTTTTTTTAGCCCAGCTTTAAGGTTAAAAAAGTTTAGTTTTAGTATTAAATGTCTAGTCTAGATTCACATTTCTATTTCCAAATCAAACACATAGGCATGAGTTTCAAATTGAAATATCATTGCAACATTCTGTCCTTATTTAAGCCACAAGATATTTTGGGCCTATGTGTTGTTACCTGAGAGAAAATAAAGACATTTGGTGGTTAATAAGGTGAAGTACACAATTGATTTGATTTAGCTCCTGCAATGTCAGCTTATTCTGTAGGATATATTGAAGTTTTCCACAGATATAGAAAATTGTCTAGGAAGAGAAACAGACAAGGCCAAAATCTTCTCCTGCTTTTAAAGACTGGTCTAAGACAAGTGACACTCAAAAAAAAAAAAGAAGCCATAAGTTGAAGGTGAAAACAAATCCGAGTGGCTTGTAACAAAAACAGTACAGTTCAAGATGAATTTGTAATGTATCGGTCATAATGTCTTTGACCCTTGTTATCTCTGTGCTATTTTTATATCCTTGTAAAAGAAGACTACTCCATTATCTCATAATACGGAGTAGAGAAGATTAACACATGGCACAAGGGTGGCTGTGGAAATTGTAACCTTTGAAATGGTTTTTCTAAGGTATGTCACAACAGGTTGGCCAATTTGTCTTCAGAGGGTCTTGGCTCTGTTAAGAAGCAAACTAGGTTATGTTGAGAAGCAGGCCATGCTTTGTGTTATGGTTTTAATAAGTGCTAAAATATACTTACTAATTAGGAAATTTTAGCTCCTTATCATGTCTGAAATCCTTTTTAAGGTAGCAGCACCCTGCTGAATGATGAGGGGATTATTTGGCTGTTTTCTACAAAACTGAAATTTTCTTTACTATTGCAGCTCTAGATAATTTTTTGTCACCACTGATCTCTTTCCTCACTCAGAACACTCTCTCGTGAGTACTTTCTTTTTGGTTGTGTCAAGCAAGCAGGAGCCAAACAAAACCCACCAGCTTAAATCTGTAGCATGTCAAAATGAGAAACGAGATTAAGTGTTGGGTGCAGATATAAGGGAGAATAAAGACACACATTTTAAGATTCATGCATATCATAACCTCTATGCAAAAATGTGCATAAAATGTGTTTTAGAACTGTAGCTAACCATATCAAAGTATCTGTTCAAGTTAGACTGATAAAGTGTTTTAAGTGCCTGGCATCACTGAAGTCTGGTTTTGACAGAGTATGAGATTTGAAGACTGCTTTTCTTAATGATTTTTGTGAGGGTAAGACCTACATTTTTCTTAGAAACAGACTTTCTGGTCAGTATTTATTCTCTTTTTATTCTACTGTCCAAATGTTTTCCCTCTTGATGGAAGTTTAGATTGCATTTGTGCTCACTCTACTGTTCTGTCATGATAAATGGAATTAGTGGCTGTTTTACACCACTGTAGTTCAAACAATTATATTCTGTGAACTGTGGGTGTTAGTAGAAAGCCAAGAGTAAAGAAGTGGCTCAGACTGGGCAAATAAAGTATAACAAACTATGAAATTTATACCACTTTTAGCTGGTGAAGCAGGATTTCCTATCAAGATTTTTATACAGAAAAAAAATTAAAATAACACATTTAGCTTATAATTAAATGGTTTTAGAAAATTTATGAAAGATGAAGACTTTTAATTCGCCTTGTTACTGAAAATTGGCAGACCTCCTATTTTGAAAAAAATCTCTTGGATCATTATATTGAAATCATGTTGCCTATATTAGGCAAGTTGTCAAATTAACAGAGGCTCCTTGCTTCATTATTTTTTCTTCTTTATTATAACAATAGACTTTAAAGTGTTGAAAATGAGCCAATGTTAAGGTCTAATTTCCTTTTAGTGGTATAATGAAGTAACAAAAATATTCTGATCTAGGTTAAAAGTTTCTCTCCAAACTAAAATCATGTTAATTTCTTTTTTCAATGTAGCTTCTTTTTTTTCAATGTAACTTCAATCTTTATAAAATACTATCTATTAACTGTATGATTACATAAAAAAAAAAAAAAACCAAAACCCCAAACCCCACAAAGATAGCCAAATTCAGCCCTTGCTGCTCCCAGAAAAACTTGTCCTCAGTGCTCAGAGGACACAGCAAAATCATTTATTCAGCTTGATCATGAACAGTAGCCTGGATTTGTCCTGTGAGCAAAATTTAAACAAGTATACATGAGTGCAATTCCTTCACACCCTGCACCCAGCTTGATTGCTCCCTCTAACCACACTACCCCTTGTGATGTTTGCTGAACAATAATGCTCACCACCAGGTATTATGTAGTATCCAGATGAAATCTACATTTAGCAAAAAAAATGCTGAACACATAGGAAGAGGCTTTTCTCCTTCAGTCTTAAAAGTACTGGACCAAATCCTGCTCCCAGCTGTACTGTGTGAGCAACTTCATATGATGAAGTGAATATCTGAGCATAGTTACTTGATAATGTCTTTGAACAGGACATAATGGGAAAAAGAAACTATTTAGAATAAATAAATAAGTCTTGAAAGTGCAGAGGATCGATTAATAATTCTTTTAAATTCTTTAAAATCTTCACACATAAATGCATACAAACCAATGCATTTGGGGCTTTTATATTGCTAATGGCTTGTTTTATTTAACTGTTTTCAACACCAAGTTCTAAAGCAGTAATTAAATTTATAAGCCAAATTCAGTCATTAGCTGAATGCAGGAACCACTTCCAAATTTAGGGCCACTACAAGGGCTTTTCTGTGTTTCTATAAGTGTTGGATTATGAATTCACCCTCTGTATTACAACAATATTCTGAGGACTGATTTTTGTCAAAAAAATATTTTATATATGTAGTATTTATGTATATAACACCATGGCATTTCATTAGACTTGTAGCCAGTACATAATTAAGGTGTCTGTTTGATTGAAAAGAGTACTGAACTTCTGGAAAAGCCAGTTTTCCATTCAACCATACTTAAGCCTCCTCAATACATTGAAGATGTGGTTTGATGATTTATCCACTAGTTGTAAGCAACCTTAAAGTGTAATTGTCTCTTCTTCCCCAGTGATAAACTTTGAAATACCTTGCCTTTGTCCGTGAGAACAGAAACTGATGTAACTTTCAGAAATGTTTCCTGGAAATTTTTTTATTTTTGATTCTAACTAAAAGACAAGAGTTTCCAAACACCTTTGAAAACATGTTGGAAGTGACATTCATGCCACGTTATCGAATATGAAAGCAATACAATGTGATCCAGTTGTGACTGAGAAGTAGTCAACTAGAAAGGTGGAAGAAGCCAGAGGTAAGTAGTGGAATTGTCAGAAAATCAAGAGGTATTTTAGGTATTAATGCAATCACCCAGGAGGCAGGGGAGAAGGAAAGCATGGATCATTGTTTGTGCAAAGTGATGACCTATGATGAGGAACAGGATGTTTGCTCCCAAGTTTGCTTGTGAACTATAGGTCAGAAACAATGAAAAGATACAAAGTATGCATATGCAGCCAACAACATTTACCCTACTCAATGTCATGTTAAAATTAATATTTTTTTTCTTAATTGAATTGTAGGAAATTTGCAATTAGTGTACTCAAGTTTAATACTATTTTGTTATTACAGGCTATATAAATCATATTTATACCGCTACTTCAGTAGGTTACTGAACCTACTGACTGTCCTCTGCTGAGGAGAGTCTTGCAGAGTTTTATTTATACGTATGCGTATATGGAGAGAGAGAGAAAGAGCACATGCTTGTCACTGGGAACAGTTCTTTTAAGAGATGTCAAACAAAAACTTGGCAAGTAACTTATATGTGCTAGACAGTTATGTCTCTGCAGACTGTGGAATGGCTCCCAAGCTCAGGTCTCATCATGTCCCACTCTGCTTCTCAAATTGTATCTCCTATTTCTTGAGTTTGTGAAAGCTCTGTGAGTTTCTGCTCACTACACACTACAAAAAGCTTTGTGAAAAATCAAGCAGAAGCTAATATTATGTATTCTCTCTTTGGCTTTGGATTTGCCTCCCCAGGAGTGGTTGGCCTTGGGGTCTTGAGTTACATTGACATATAATGAATGATGCTAAGCTTTTTATTCAAGATGTATCCATTTGGGGGCAGAAGCTGTAGATGATGTCCCTTATCTAATCACTGTCTTGTTTTGCAACAAGAAAGCACTAAAACTTAGTGAAATTGTAAAAGGTACTCTGTGAATATATGCACTCTAGATTTCCCTATAAGCTTCATTTTTAAAGGATTTATCACAAACATGCAGAGTGATATTGCCTCAAGTATTGATGTAACTTTCTGAAGTGATGGACAATAGAGCTAAATGGAAAATGCAGATCTTTATTGTTAAGAAGTCTGTGGTTTAGTTAGATTTAGTTAGATTTTTTGGTTTGGTTTGGTTTTTTTTAATTACAAATCTGAACAAAAGGTCAGTTCACACATTGTCTTCCATAGGGTTTCCTGATATTTTAACAACTGATGTGGAACATTTTAGCCTGCTGGAAACACCTGCAGTGAATGACAATGGCTTGCACCCTAAGCTGCAAGGCTACCTGGGCTGCCTGAGAGCACCAGGAACCAATTAACCCAGGAGCTGGGCACCTAAAACAAGCTGACACACAGGGCTTGCTTTGGAATTTCTTAGACACTGACAATTGAGTTGTTCAGAATTTACTGCTTAAAGGGCACTCAGTCACCAGCTCTGAAGCCCAGTTAATTAATTCTTGTCGGAAGAGCTTTACCCTGGATACCTAATGTCTAGTTATACTGACCTTTAAAATAACACTTGCAGCTGAGATATCTACCTAATAATAGCACCCTGTGTCCTGCACACCAGCTTTCAGAAATAGGCACAGCAGGCTTCTCATAACTCTTTTCCTTTTGTCCAAGATTGTCATACTTCTTGCCCTGCTTTTATTCAAAACTTTTCATCTAGCCATAGTGCAGACACTGCTATGGCTGAGATCACTTACGCTTTTCATGTTGCCTGTGGCCTCTTGCAGACATAGTCAATACCTGCTCCAAGGACTTCCCTGTGCTTGTAATTGCATTGTCATCTGTAAAAAGTTTTTTCTGGCTGAAGTGAATTTCTCACTGCTCACAAGATTTTCACCTGTTATAGCAGTATATAGCTCTAGTCTCATAAAACTGATTCACAAGGCATGCCTATAATCAGATCTGTAATGTCTGATTTGCTTTTAGCTTTCAGTACAGACCATTTGTAAGACATAAACATGAGGTTTGGTTTTAAGAGCAGATTGTCCAAACACTTCCTCTCTACATTTGTCAGACACTGGTATCCCACTAGATAGCCAGGTAGCAGGGAAGCAGAGGAGCAGCAGCAAGTTAAGTCCCTCAGCACCTCACTCACAAACAAGCTGTCACAAAACTGGCGTTATCCGGGTTTTCAATATCTGCAAATACTCAGGCATTAAAACCTCTCACAAGGCAGCTTCCTGTGCCCTGGGTTTCAGAGTTTGCCTCTGTGCAGGCTGCTACTACTCACGCAGCTAACAAGCCAAATAGTATGCCTGAGAACTCCGAGACAGTGCAGGTCAGTTCTTCAGCAGCATCCTGCTGCCACTTTTGTTTGACAGGGTGGAAAGCACAGGAAGACGTGTCTCCCTGAACACACCATAAACCATAAACCTGGGAAGTCAAGGAGCTCCACTTTTAGGGAGTGATTTCTAGCACGGGTAGGTTGGTGACTGGCAAGAAGTCAGTCAGCATTGCCTCAAAAATTGGAAATCAGTTGGTTCCGGCTTTGTTGAATCAGCATTTCCAGAGGAAAGCTGTTATGTCAGAAGATTTTCCACCCAATATAATGAGCAGAACAGTGAAAGCAGCACACATTGTAGGAGGAGATTTTGAAAATATCATTGGCTAAGAATTAATTTTCTGTTGTAACATATTGAGGATTGATTGCATGTTTCAAGAGCAGAATGATGCCCAAATGCTCAATTGTCTTTGGAAAGTTACATTTTTTTCTCTGAATAGCCCAACCTGAATGTCTGGTAC